ACACAAAATCGGCAGCAGCAAAAGCAAAAAGAACAACAATACAAATTTCTAAAGAGGAGAAAGAGACACAGAGTATTGCCAAACAAACAAGACCTAGATCTAGATCAAGGCCTACCCTAATATGAAGTGAAGTTAAATTCAATATCAAAATTATCTCTTCTATGTAGATCTAGATCTATACATCAACCTCATCGTAATACATATCATATGTATTAGAATCTAGATCTAGTATGCGTGCCAACAAAACGGAATGGACTGAATGAATGCCTCTTAGTATATATAAATCATAAAACACAATTTTTTAACGCATGCACTCTGCACTTCTTTTTTTTTTTTAACTGTAGGCGTAATCAAAAAAAGAGCAAATAGCCTACTCAAGTCTCGGACATATCTCACCCTTTCAGACTCCTCGAACAGCGAAGCACTGTACTGCGGGCGAAAAAAAAAGAAAAGGGAGCGGAGAGGTGGATGTAATTTTAAGGCGCCGGGGGCGGGAGGGGACGACAACAAAGTTACATTTGTATTTTATGTCGAACTTCATAACAACTACGTCGTAGGTAAAGCAGACGAACTATCTAGATCCATTCAATGCAATACATGTATAGACTTCTAGAAAAGGTAGTAGGTAGGCTAGTTACTCACCTTGCCTTGTGTTATTAGAAAGGGGTGGGGAGGTAGATTCTAGATGTGGCGAGTTTTCTTAAATAGAAATCCAGTCGGTCTTACAAAGATTGCATGGACCCTCCAGAACAGGCATGAAAATACTTGAAACAGAATTCTTAATCATTAAAAGCACACAGTCACAGTCTTGTACTCCTATAATTTCTAACCACAACTCAACTGGTAGTAGGCCCCAGCGTCCAAAAACGCCCCGCGAACTTCACAATTCACAAAACATTAAAAAAATTAAACTCCGTGAAAATAACTAAAACACATAGAATCTATCAAAAACGGGAAAAGATGAGATCAATTGTAAAAATTTCCCTGCGGAACTTGTCTAACAATTAATTGACACATTCATTCTATTACATTGTACATCAATTCACACAGTAAAGTCAGCACGAACAGTTGCGTTGTTGAATCGCCAGCGGCATCATACCGTTACTATGCAGAGGAAGTCGATAAAAGCGAATTGTTTACAATGGTTTCCCCGTTGTACATTTTATACTGTTGCCTCAGCATGCAAATTCGCAATCGGAACCTGGAATTAAAACAAAACTCTACGACGACCAGTGAGTAGTGTACTTAGGCTAAGTGTACTAGTGACGGTGTGCTGTGTGCACTCTGTGTGTGACACTGTTGTGTGTGCTTTCAATCTGATGAGCTGATGACTGTGGTCCGGGGTGAGCCGTGCTTCCCGTCAAAAGAAAAGAATTTATATGGTGGACGTGAAATTATCCATATGAGACAGAATATCGTCAAACTTAGAATCGACTGATAATAGCGCTTTCTTCTTTCGCCCATCAGCAGTTGAGTATGGTTTGCTGGGTAGATTTTTATTGTTTACTTTCTCCTAGATCTAATCTATATATTCTAGATCTAGATCTAGTTGGCAACTTGAACGAACCTAACAAACGTATGATAGAAAATGAATGGCGGAATTAAACGCGCTAAAGTAAACAATTGCCTGTAATTCTAAAATCTAGATCTAGATCTAGATCTAGTTCTAATTCTGGTTCTACGTAACGAAGTGACTATTCGGACTCGAGTCCGAATATGAAAAAGGCCACCTCTATTCTCACCCCGGGTGAGAATAGCGCAGGCGAGTCTTTTGGCTATTCTCACCCGGTGGGCGTTCACCGTTATAGCCTAGGCCAACCAGTGAAGCGTTCACCCTGAACCACAGAATTCTACACTGTGATTATAACAGAATTATAGAATTCTGTGCTGTGAACAAACGTTCTAGATCTATTACTAGATCTAGAATCTAGATCTAGATCTACTGTTAGTGTTAGCCTAAAAGCGTGCAATTTTCAAATTTTGTCTGTGGGCAGTGGAGAGAGAGAAAGAGAGAGGAGTAGCGCGAGAACTTCCGGGCAAAACAAAATGGCGACCCTCGTAGTTCGGCTCGATTCGGAAAGTTAAATAGCCGTAGCATCTTTGTAGAAAACCAAATTAATTTAGTTTTCTTTTTTAACATCATTTTTTAACTTTGTTTTGGTCAATTTGATCGTCCACACCGATAGACAGTATTCAGAAAGAGACAGAGAGAGAGGGGAGGAGTAGATCTTGCGAGAACTTCCTGGCAAAACAAAGTGGCGACCCGCGTAGTTCGGCTCGATTCGAAAAGTGAAATAGCCATAGCATGATCTTTGAAGACGATCAAATTAGCTTACTTTTGTGCTATAACGAAATTTTTTCTTGGCTTTTATCAATTTGATCATCCACTGATAGACAGTATTCCAAAATGAGGAAAAACAGGTCTTGTTTCACACCGGGTGAGAATAGCCTACGCTGGCAAGTTTCACCCGGGATGAGAGGTAGATCGTATTTTTATTCTCACCCCGGGTGAGAATAGCCACTTCCTATGAAAAAATGTTATTCGGACTCTGATTCTTGTCCAGCATGACATCACTTTCGACTTCCTGTGACTCGTGACTCGGGCTTCCTGTCCTGCCTCATTCGTGACTCGCCTCAGGCTAGGTAGAGACCGGGATCACTTCTGGCAAAATGGTGTTTTGTGCAGGAGCCGAGTTTTTATCTTATGATGAATTTGAGGCCGACCTGAAAAGTTATAGCGCTTCTAATAAATGTTTATAATTTGTCAAGAGGTCATCAGAAGCAATTAAAGATGGCTCGTTAGCGTGGGTCGGATGGGCGGCCTGCACACGTGTGGCTGTGTGTGTGTGTCGGGGGGGGTGGGGGGCACTATTGGTCCGGGCGTTGAACGTCGCATACGCGTCAGTCTTTTTTCCCCCCCGGCAACTGATCATCATTACAATAATAAGCTAGTCTTGACGTAGATCTACGTAATGAATTGTGCGCTGGTCTATGGAATAAAAAGTTGGCGTATGCTCGGCTCTACACAGCAACACAACTTTTTCTTGGTTGGTAAACAATCGAGATGACACAGGCTTGTGTATTTGAACGAATCGGTCTTTTTTTTTTTTACCCAGGTCATGGTATGCAGGTGCCAGGTGGTCTGCTAATCTTCAATTTTACCTTTTTCTACAACAAAGAAAGTGGGAAACATGGGGGTTGGGGGGGGGGATCAATGAGGCGGCGGGCATCGGATCGGCAGATAAGGTGTGGGGGAAAATAAAAAATGGCGGAAAATTGGAAGCACTGAACGTTAGGTCTTTAGAACGAAGACACTTCCTTTTTTCCAGACCCGAGTCCAAATAACATTTTTTCATGTTTCGGACTCGAGTCCGAATATGAATTTTTTTTATTCGGACTTAAGTCCGAATAAAGACAGCCCAAAAAATCCCCCGATGACAGGGTTATATATTATGTAACCTCCTGACACTCACTCTCACATAAACTCACTTAGATCAAGAATCTACATCTAGAAGCCAAGTCCAAAAACATTTTTTGGACTCGTGTCCGAATAGATTAAACCCATATTTGGACGCGTCCGCAAGATAAAAAATCTAATCGGACTCGAGTCCGAATAGAGCTGGCCTACTTCTACTTTCAAACCTGCCATGACGGCCACCTCTATAAGACAGCCATCTGTACAAACGGCCACTTTCCATTTCCCCCTTTGTGTTTTTTCTATTTAATTTAACTGTGTAAAACGACCACCTGTCCAACGTGGCCGCGGCCACTAGAGTAATCGTACCCTGTCGGGCAGCAGGGTTTTTTTTAGTTTTCGGGCTCTGAAGTACAAAAAAATCTTTTAAAACTTTGTTTTTAAAATCTAGCCCCAAAAGAGTGTCCCACAAACCTAAAGCAACCTCCCTTACTTTGGTTGAAACAACAGTTACGGCGACATTTTGCGCTAAAAATAGTCCTTAAGACAGCTTTTTCTTCATCAACTGAGCAAAACAGTGTGAAGCTCTTCCCCAGGAAGGAGATATATAAAGCTTTTATCTTTAAAGTCGACGTGCCTGTTTTTGTCCTAATTTTGATGGAACCGGTAATTTTACTCTACATTTTAACTCACAACCCCTATCACACCCAAAAATAACACCTGTCTGAGACGGCCACCTTGGTGACTCCACTACGTTTGTCATAAATTATGCATTGGCCTGTGACGTTCTGTGCGAACCGTCATATCCAATCGCCTGTCACTGTTGTTAGGTAGTCCCTTCAATCGATCGTGTTGCGTTGACCCCTCCCACTGTTGACTGATAGGTAACAAATTTTCGGCTGCTGGTGAGGTAAGCATGTGATCCGTCATAACCCATTTATAAGCCCCGCCCAGAACTCATAGACAAATCGTAAATGAGATGAATGGTCACAGTTTACCCACTCTGTAACAAAGTAACAATGGACGTCAACATGAACTTGTGACAAAATCGTCGCTTGTTCTCCGAGTGGAGGCGACCCATGTGTTTATTTTAACATGGAACTCACGGTCTTCCACATCTGATTCATTTTATTTTGTTGTCACCCTTGCACAAAATCAGCAACAAAATAAAAATTTATACAAACAAAACACAAACCACTACCACCAACAACAACAAAATGTGGCTACTTTCGGTTGGGACCTCAGAAGGGAATGGTTTGTTTTCGTCATCTTGATCAGTCTTGCCTAAGATGGCCACCTGTCTTATTCAGCCACTTTTCTCCTTAACAATGGGTGGTTGTCTTACACAGGTTCAACTACTCTGACTAACGAAGGGGCTATCCATATTGACCAAAACCTGTCGAATACACAGGTCTCATAAGTAATCATTCATGTTTAAAATACATGCATTCAAGTTCAAGGCTCCTTTTGGTTTTGTCTCCAATTCCAATACAAATACTTTAGGTATTGCAAACTAAAATTTTATTTTTAGATCTCTACCAAGTGCCATAAAACTCTTACTAAAAACAAAAGGCAAGGATGTAGGCCCTAGGCTTGCAAAATTGAATTTTTTAAAATGATAGCAGTCATTTTCATTTTTAGTCAGTTTTGATACTTGGAAAACCGTTTCATCCTTTGACAATAATTTACTATATTATCAATATTCATACTTAGATACTTTTGCACTCACTGGTTAGTCATCCTATTCGATCTTCAAGAAGAAGAAGGCAAAAATAGTGTTGAGATATATATATATATATATATATATATATTTGTGTTCCATGTTAGCTTGTAAGTTAATTTATTACTTTTATTATTATAAAAATGTTGCATGTTTGTGTGTAGCTTCTAGTTTGTGGTCACAGAAGAGGGCATCATGTGTGTGTTAATGGCAAAGCACAGGAGAGAGGTGGTGGTGTGTGTAAGTGTTTGGTTCTCATATATATATATATATATATATATATGTGGAACTTATATGATGAGTCATTTTACTGAGACTTTTGCTTCTAGTATTTCAGCCATTCCGAGTATAGTCAAACTGAACATGACATTTTTAATTTTGTTGAATAATTAAATTATTATCCCAAATATAGATTTCATCATGACACAATGAATTCTTGTTTTCCGTTTGCAATTAATTTACGGGGGAGTAACAGTCTTTGAATTCAACAGATTTGCCCGTTCCTTTTTTTTTTTTTTTTTTTAAAGTCTGTAAATTTCTATGCCTTTCCTTTAGCATCTCTCAGAGTGTTCTGTTGTTTGCTTACAGAGTTGCCAGCAGGGCTGACACAGTTTCAAAGAGTCCATATCTACTTCTGAGAGAAAATGAGTGCTGACCACAACTTGAGTATTTTCTATCAAGAAGTATTTGGTAATAATTTGAAGAAGGTCAGAAATGCCACTTTATCGGTTGTGGTGGATAATCTTAACAGATTCAAAAGTTGTGGTTCTCAGGACAAGAGATATGAGTGCATAGCAAAGTTTTGTCAGAATGTTTTATTAAATAAAATTTTACAAAGTGAGCAAGAAATTCACTTGGAACGTTCAAAGTTGGCTCGCTCATATGGAATTGTTTACATTGTGGTTTGTGCGTGTATATCTGAAAATGACTCTAACGAAGGAGTTTTGACTCGTGATGCAGACGTTGTTGTGCAGTCTGTGATCAGCAAGGATTTTTATGAGCTTCGAAAGTCTCTGCATCAAGAAAAAGTATCTGTCGCTGGTATCAGTACCGAAGCTGAGAAACTAAATCAGCTTCTTAGATTTGGAAAATTACAATACGGTACATCATATCGTCAGGTAGGAGTGTTACTTCATGGGCCCCCTGGATGTGGCAAATCGTCTTTGGTGAAGCACATAGCTCAGTCATGTGATGCAGTGGTTTTGAATGTAGAAAGTACAGATGTCCTGCAGTCAGAGGTTGGTTCTGGGGTTGAGGCTCTAAAGAGGTTTTTCAGAAGAGCTGTGGCACTCTCAGAAGAAGGCTCAGTGATACTATTTCTGGATGAGTTGGACACATTGTGCCCTCACCGTGATAATTCTAGTCTAGGCAGCAAGCAGATCACAAGTGCTCTCATTCACGAACTGGACAGTCTTCACGGTAAAGATATTCCTGGACTGCTTGTGCTTGGTGCTACCAATGTGATATCATCTCTTGACCCATCCCTGAGAAGGCCAGGGCGCTTTGATCGTGAGGTTTGTTCGCTCTGCCTATTCACTGCATACTCACTTTGTTGCTTTATTACAAGTTATCTAATGTTCTAGGGGGGTTTTCTCATGGTATTTTGGATGTTTAGAGGACATGTAATTTTAATGTTGAGAGAGATAACTAGTTTGGTTTAGTTGTTAACATTCCTTGTCGTCTGAGTGTTTAAAGTGTTTTTATAATATCGTGCCCCGGCTTCTTTCTGGATTGTACTGTTGTTTTTTAACCAGGGATGCCACTTTTCCGCTTTTTCCCGGTATTTCCGGTATTTTGATCCTGATCCGCTATTCGGTTATTGAGATCTAGATAGAATCTATAATTGGAAAAAAAAAAAAAAAAAAAACCCACGCACACACAATAACTTGCACCAGATGTTCAAATAACGGAAAAACGAAGACTTCACTACTTTTATGTACACCCATTGTTTATGTTTGTTTGTCATTTCTCTCTATGTACACCCTTTGGGTTTCAAATTGATATTCATGTGTTAGCGAGACTGTGGTTCGTTGATTTTCAGCTATTTTCAAAAAAGTTGAGTGGCATCCCTGTTTTACTTTTTGGTCCCCCTTGAAGGTCTGTAGATAGTCCCAATTCTCTTATTTTGTCCCTTATAAAATATGAATGTACCTTTAATGCTTTTGTTCTATTTAATGCATGATGTATATAATCGTCAAATGTATTACAGCTTACAAGTACAAGGCGTTGTTTGCTCTTTTGCCCTTCTATTTTTTAAATTATTATACAGGTAACATCAGCCGCTACAACAGTATTTTCAAACCTGGTTTGAAAGGGGATTGGGGGAGGGAGGTCATTCTTAGTTTAAAAGCAATGTCTTTCAGTTGTTTCGCAGAGGTTTTCTCATAAAATTCGTTATTTATTTTAATTTTAATGGACATGGAGTCCAGGGTTTTCTCATGTTTTATATTTACAGCATTTTTCCTATAATAATACTATATTTTAAGATCTAAATAACATTTTCATCTTCAGGTTTTGATAAATATTCCGACTAAAGATCAAAGGTTAGCCATTCTTGAGCTGTTTACAAACCACGTGGAACTAGATTGTGCTGTCCAGCTATGTGACATTGCCATGAGAACTCCAGGCTATGTGGGAGCAGATCTCAGAGCCTTGTGTGAAGAAGCAGAGAGCATGACACTGAAAAGAGAAGGTGCTGTTCCAGTAAGTGATTGAATATTTTGTTTTTAAACTAGAATTTGAGGTTGACTGATTGATTTTATAGTTATGTTAGCATGATTGCTAAATGCATGTTGCAGATGAAATATGGTAGCCTTGGTCTTAATGTATTTTAAGATGCAGTTCACCTTAGTGTCTAATTTGTTTGCTAGTGTTAATTGTTTGTCTGATCTTCCAGGGTAATATTTATTGTAATGTGTGAATAGTATAGAGCTTTCTGTTGAGCAGGGATATAGTGCACTATACAACTTCTATATTTATATAATTTATTTTTTTCTACCAAGAGAATGTGAAAGTTTCCAACAAGTGACAAAGACTTTTAGTGTTTCAGATATCATCAGATTTATGTATTTCCTGTAACGGAGAATTAGTTGTCTAAAGGGTACGGTAGGGCTGTTATATCTCATACTATTCGATCCTTGTCGCCTGTATTCATGATTTAATTTGAATTCTTCCCTTCCATCACTTTGTGCTTTCTTAACATTTGTTCCGTTTTCTTTTCTTGAAAAGTAAAATGTCAAAATATGGAGATCATTCTCCAGTATGTTCTTCCTTGTGATCAGTGTTTGTTTGGTACGTTTAACTTCTAAAGTTTAAACACTTGTTAATGTGCCATTTAGCTATACTTTTGTCTGAGTCAAACTCCAGAGAATGTCACTTTATCTAGTCTCTTGCTTGTATTTTGTTTCACAGAATGTGAAGCCTACAGTCAAACTGGAAGATTTTGACCATGCCCTGCATTGTGTGGCACCTCTCATGAAGAGAAGCTCTGACTGTGTCATTGACTTGCAGCCTGTGAACTGGGAGGACATTGGTGGCTTAGAGGATGTTAAGCATGAAATTCGACAGGTGAAAGCAGAATGTTGTAGTTGTCATCAGTCATTATATCTTATCTGTCTTAGAGTCCAAGTTATCATCTTCTGGTTAAATGAATACTATTATCTGACTGATCTAATCACCAGAAGACAAAACTACTTTTTGTACAAAGTTTGTGGTCTCACTATATTCAAAGGTACAAGTAGTCAGTTGTCAGCACCCATGTCCATAGAACATGTGGCTTGTTACCGGAGTAATATTCATGTGTATTTTAGTTTTTATTGTTTTTAGTATATGCCTGCACAGATGGTTGTACTTGTTATGGGTTGTGTTGTTTGGTTCAAATTTTATGTATCATACTTGAAGTTATATATATATGCAATTCTTTGCCATGATAACACGATAAGTAAACATTCAAAATGCAGTAAGCTTCGCCAAAGATCCCTCTGCTTACAACCCTGGTTCGCTTGAGATCCTGGTGTTTTAAGAAAACAGTTTTTACTACACAAATGTCACTCCTAAGATCCAGCTATGAAGGACTACATTCAGCGAAGATCCCAAATTTTAGATCATAATTTACTTAACAATAACCCGAATGGGCACAGTAGGTCAACCAAGAAGGAAAATCTTTGATCACTGAACTGCCTGTTCTCGTCACTGATCAGCCACTCTCATGAATAAGATCAGGTCTCCATAGTAAATCTCGATGAAACAGTGCAATATTTGCCCCAGGTGGAATAATACTGAAGTGTGAACTCGCTGATGTGTTTGTTTTCCCCAAACATCGCATCCACATCTGAGCTCTCCACTTGAAAATCACACTCTGGGTAGGTAGGGCCTACAAGTTCGCTCCAGGCAGGATCACATGGAACTGTGAACTCTTCTCTGATCATTGCATCAGTTGTCTATACTCTCGAATTTGAGAGACAGACTGAATTTTAATTGGTGTGGTCAAAACATAATGTTGCATAACGACAAAGGCAGGGGAACCCAGTCAGAGATGGAAAACTATAAATTTGGGACAGGTAAAGGGGAGGAGTCATAAGAGTAAGACAAAAGCGTAGAACTTGAGACTCAAGATAGGATAACAAGTAAAAATGGCTTGCCTCATGATTCTTTGACTGGTCTTCAAGGTTGACCAGTCTTTGCTTGCCGTAAGTGATGAACCCACGCAGGGGTCACGTCAGTTTATTTTGGAGTAAAGGGATACCATTTTATCTGTTGTGGGCCTGAACATATGTCACTGTGGATTCTTCCCTTGGTGCGTCAGCTAAGGTCCGGCATTTTCCTTGCTCCTGGGCCCCAGGATTTTAAGCAGAGACTACTGTATTTACTTTTCCGTATTTATTAACCTTGGAACTCCCATCTATATACTTTACACTTTGCCATCACAAGGCTCATGTAGTAAAAACCCTTGATATCAAAGGCAAAAGCATTTTGGGGAAAATCCAAAGAAACTGGGCGATAAACATCGCCGATCGGCGAGATGTGACAGCAAAGTGTTAAAGACATGATATGTTATGAAGTGAGGTTGGCTTGTCTTAATTTTTTCTTTTTAAATTCTAACATGACAGCTAGATTTTGATTTTATTCGGGATTTTTCTGTCGCCTTGTTCTTGTACATTGTATGTGTATTCATGTAAAAAAAAAATCCAGCTCATAAACCAAAACAAGGTTTGAATCATTATACTTTTACAGGCCTGCTTCCATGTAACATAACTCACATATACACTCATGTTCGTTCAGTCTATAGAATGGCCACTTCTGTATCCTGACGTTCTGCACCGGATGGACTTGACACCGACTAAAGGGGTTCTTCTCTTCGGCCCCCCAGGGTGCTGCAAGACAACACTTGTAAAAGCTGCTGCAACATCTTGCCATGTCACTTTCTTGTCCTTGAGTGGAGCACAAGTCTTTTCTCCTTATGTTGGCGAGTCTGAAAAAATTGTATCTGAGGTAATTTAATGAGGGTTCTTTTCAATTTGTGTTGTATGTATATAATGTATAGGTTGATGGTGGATGTATGCCTCAATATAGTTTAAAAGATGCTAAGTTTTTATTTCAAAGTGACAATTGATACAGGTATGCAACATTTTTTTCTCAAAAGTAGATAAAGAATATATTATATGTGGTTAAGTGTGTCTTTGAAACTGAGCAATGTACATAGTTTGTCATTCCAGAGCCTCTTAGCAGGGGCATGTACAATAAATTTCACTTTAAATCTTCCAAGTATATGAACTTTACCAGGGTCAAAAGAAAGTGTGGGTCCTTTGGCTGTCTTGTGCAGTTGCGTTTTGCAAAATTGTGTCTTGTGTTACAAAGTATTTTGTGTTTGTATGACGTCATTACAATTCTGTCTTTTCAGGTGATTTTTAAAAGTTTAATTTGTTTCAAGGTGCTTAAGGGTGCAGGATCAATGTAATTACGATAACCAAAGATACATGCGGCATTATATATAAATACAGTCCGTGCCGGCTTTAAACACGCTGGCAAAAAAAACACGTTTCAGACTCAAGCACGCCAAGCGGCTCTTACAGAATTTTTGCTATATAAATTACTCGCCTTTAAGCACAGTAACTTCGGCTTCGGGCACGCTTCAATTACAAGACAGTCCGTACTTTCATGATGACACATCGAAGTTCGAACACAGTTTACACCGCTGCAATGAGTGTAAGAGAAACAGAAAGAACACAGATGAACACGCGCGCGGAGAGGAAGGCAGAGAGATGCACACGGCCATGGACATAGGATCTAGCCTAGCGCAAAGCTACACACAGATGAAAAAAATACAGTCGGGGAGATGAGAAAGTGAGGCTGGCTGCGATTTCACCTTTGCCCCTTGTTATCCGTTAATCCTGATTATGTATCACGTGCGAGGTGGGATGAAGGCAGTGGTATGAAATGGCACAGCGGGCGTGGTATGCACAGGCAGTGTTTAGGCCTAGTGTGCTGTATTGTGAGTGCATTTCCCATTAGACCACAAAACAAACAAACAAAAACTACCCTGGCTGGTAGAAATGACAGCGCGCACTTTTTCATGACGAAAACTTACGAACGAAGGGAAATAACTCAGAATATTTTCTGCATGAAAACCTATGGATTATGTCTACTTCGCACTCAAGCATGCTTATGCTTTCTCCCGATGACAGTGCTTAAAGCCAGCATGGACTATATATATATATATATATTTATTATTATTCTTTAGAGGATTGTGACATCTTATTGTATTCCACAGGCTTTTCAGAAAGCAAGGGCTCTTTCTCCATCAATTTTATTCTTTGATGAAATAGAGACTCTTGTAGGGAAACGATCCTCAGAAAAGAATCAGTCGCGGGTACAGGAACGGATTTTGGCTACACTCTTGAATGAGATGGATGGTGTCGGCATCCGTTTGGACAAGAAGACTAACGCTAGCTTGAATCAAGACAGAGGAAGATCCACAGTCGGTGTATCTGGGCCACAAGAGATGCAGAAAATGGACAACAGGGGCGTTGGTTGTACTTCCATAGTGGTGGGTTTTGGTCACAATCACAGCAGAAAACAGAAAGAGTGAATGAATGAATATGGATTTGTGACATTGATTGATATGTCAGGGAAGTTATCAAAAAAGCTAAAAAGATTTGTACAGAGTTATAAACTCCTTTTAATAAGAATTGAATTAATAAGCACAGGCATTGTCTTGAAAGACTTCAAAATTATGTTGTCTCAGTTTCTGGTACTGATAAAAAAAGAAATATTTATTTGTCTATATATGAGACAACGTGGTGAAACCAGGCACTCGCCAAAATAATCTGCGGTCACCCATCTGTTCAGTGTGGTCGTCAAGCTAAGTTCTATTGATTTTTATGCCCATTTTTGCATTTGAAAATAGACATAATGTGCCTAGTTATTCCTTGTGAAATTTTACAGAACTAAGATAAATGGGCAGACATTTGTGTTTTTCGAAACTGTTGAATCTTTCTGAAATGTGTCCAAATTGTTTCAGAGTGAATGTAACTCTTCTTTGGACTTGAAGGGGTCACAAGTGATGGTGATAGGGGCGACCAATCGTCCAGACATGCTGGATCCTGCTATTCTAAGGCCAGGGAGGCTGGATAAACATATACATGTGCCGCCACCTGATGCAGAGGTTTGCTTTATATTTCTTCCTGTTTCGGGTTACATGCAGTTAATTATTAATTTAGCAGAAACCTTCTCTGTGCTGTTACTGAAACCTCGGACACATGTATAAGATATTGAATTTGGGCATGACTACTCAAATCTAGTGGTTAGGATGCTTCAAAAGAAGTTGGGGGGGGGAAGGTGGAGGAGGGTGTTAAGTCCTAATGTCTGTAATTTACCAGCTTGCACTATTAAGTCTATTTTCGCATGCATTCCAGACAAGGGTGCTTAGCAAGATTTCTAGCTTCTTTGCTAGTTATTTATATGCTTGTAAAGAAGTGGGTTCATTCAGATTTGGATCACCTTAACCATGCTTCATTTCTAGAGTTGGGCATTCCCTCGCAGATTAACATTTTTCCTTAATTATCTGAAAATGATGGCCGCAAATGCTGGGCAATAACTTATGAGTTAGAGGGCAAGTTGGAAGCAACACAAATCTGGTTTATCAAAAGAGTTCAGAAATTCTTGGAAGGAGAAGAAAATAAATGAGTCAGTACTTTGTGATGTCAATGTGCAACGGTGCCTGATGCTAGCAATGAAAATTGGACAAACGCAGTCTTGAGGACACATCACAGTGGTCTTAAATACATCATCTTACGTGGAAAGATTGATGGATAAAGAGGCAGAGGCAGGCAAAGAGCAACATATTGTAAGTCTAAATTCTTTGGCAACTGGAAATAGGCAGCTGCAATGTTTCTGAGGGTGGGGAAAAAATATTGGACCAAGTGGAGAGCCATGATCACTAATATCAGTTACAGACCTACCTCTTGAGAGACAGATCTGCAGACAAGTAGTCAAGCAGTCAGTGGTTCTCAAATTGTTTCAAAAGTGCAGTCAAACCTGAGCTACCAGCCACCTGTATGAGGCAATCACCTGTACAAACAGCCACTTCACATTTCCTCCCTTGCATATTTTTTATACCTTATGAACTCTGGTTTAAGAGGGTCAGAATTGCTAGGCGTTATTTGCCTTTGATGACATCTTTCTTTTTCTAATTAACGAAATGTCAAAAGTTAAAAGCTCAAGTTGATCTTGTTGTTACTTGCTAAAGATATTAAGTTAATTTATCACTCTTTTCTGAACTGTTCCGTCTTTGATGTCAGGCTCGGGCAGCTATCCTGAAAGTGTACACTTCTAAAATGTCTACTTCTGACCTGGATCTTCACAAGATGAGTCTGGATACAGAGCTCTACACAGGGGCAGACCTCAAGAACTTGTGTAAAGAGGTAAATTTCTCTTCAGAATGCTGAAGGATTGTGGGGATTTTTTTAGTTATTACTTGGATCATGAAGGATCCTTGGGCTTTTTGGCTTTTTTCATGATAAGAAAGAAGCATATTCCCATTTTACAATGAAGCAACCAGTGTGAGCATTATGGTCATGGTGAAGTTCATTTGTGCCTACATTCTGTCTTATTTGTGTGTTTGTTTTTGGGGGGGAGTTTTGTGTTGTTTTGGTGTTGTTTTTTTGGGGGGGTCATATACATTATGTGCAGTTTGGTGGCCCTTGAACAAAGCAAACCCTATTCACCACTTTCGGCTCCATGTCCTGAAAGAGGACAAACAACTATCCCTTTACAATGACTTATTCTGTCTATGTGTGGTGTCGATGGCTTAATGGTTAGGCTCACAGACTTGTTATTGTAAGATCGTAGGTTCAAATTCCATCAGGGGCCCAATGTTGGGTCCTTGGGAAAGGCACTTTACAAAAATTGTCTTCACTTCACCCAGGTGTGGATGGGTAACCGGCTAGAGACAGCGAAAGACCTTGTCAGTTTGTTAGTTTGAGGGCATGCATTCCAAGAAGCTGAGAATGCTTCTGGGTGTTCCAGGCTCTGCTGGGGTAATAATGATTGTAAAGCACATAGAGCATGCTGTAGTGGGTGGATATGCACTCTATATAAATGGAAGAAGTATTATTATTATTAGAGCAGTCAATTTAACAAAAATCAACATCGGTGCATTTAGTCTCTTTTAGTCTCTTATCCTATATATTCATTGTCAATTTTTTCTATTACTATTTTCATTTCTTTTGTTTCCAGGCAGGTCTATTTGCTTTGAGAGAGATTCTCGCCAGAGGTGATCCTGGCTCGCCTATTTGTGTGAACAGTCATCATTTTGCAAGAGCAAAGGAAATTGTCAAACCATCTCTGTAGTAATACTTGAAAATGCAATTGTATGTTTTGAAATGTGCAATATTTTTCTGAAATCATTTAAACTGATTTTTATTGGTCATGTGATATGGCTTCGTATTTGTCAGTTTTTTCCCACGTGTTGGCTGGATACTGCTTTAATAAAATATAATACACCTTTGACTGTGCACTTTTCTGTCCATTCACTTTTCATTTGTACAATGCAATATTGAGATGTGCCTTGTGTGTCTTGTAGCTCGTCAGGTTATGCTAAAGGCTCTGAGAATGAAGCTGTTTTGTTGCCCTTTGATTTGAACGTGAAAGCATAGAGTTGATTGGTGTGTGGTTGGCGGGTGCTCAGACGGTGTGGTTTGCTTCTTCTTTCCTATCAAACATCTATCGTCCTTATCTCCCCTTCTTCCTTTTTATGTTTGTTACTCTCTTGTAACACCTCTAATCCTCTGGCGCTCATATGACCTTATGCTGTTGTGAGCGCCGTAAAACCTCTACTAAAACTAGGAGTTGATTGAATTACATTTTAAAATCAGTGCGATACAGGAGTCTTCGCCTAAATGCACGGTGCTAGGTGGGGATCCGAAATGTGCGTTGAAACGGCGCTTGTGTTTACGTGACCCCATGCGAGGGGGGGGGGGGGGCGCAATTATCTCATTTCCTTGAAATTTTAGTGAATTATAACTGTTACCTCCCTACGTGGGGGTGTCATCTCACATACTCCTCGGATCGTGGTTACGTCTACAGAGGTGGTGAATAAGTGGTAAAAAAAAAAAAAGCAGAAATATGGACTCGCTTATCCATCGGGAACAGATAAGACGAAACTGTTGGTGATGACCGCAAAGGTGTTTAGCTAGGCTATACTGCTTTCAAAGCAGCCACTCCCGACTTCCTGACGTCTATTGCTATTCGCTAAATGTTTGGATGATGTCGGACATTCTGAGAGACTTTTCTCTGGTGATTCATTGAAGTACATTATAAGTTTTTCGAGCACAGCTGATCACTGGACTAAAGCATTAATTCTATAATAGTCTATAGCCCCATCTTCTGTTCTACAGCAATCATGTGTGTTGCGCATCGTAGGCTTGACAAATATTATTAGTCACTGAAACATCAGTAAAAAAAAGTCTTTCAAAGTCGAATTTCGAGTGACCAATCAAAAGACAGTTCAGTTCTTCTCCTTCTCCCCCCCCCCCCCCCCCCCAACATATCACCCGCCCACTCTTATGTGTTCGTAGGGTTAGGGTGTAAAAAGGCTGTCCGTCACTTTCAATACTTTCATTGTGCTGCACGAGGAGCAGCCTCACGAAATATTTCGTGTTTGTTATCATCGTACCCTGTGTTTCATTTGATGCTCAACTTTCCTGCAGTCAAGCTTTTCCGCTTTACCTGTCGGCATGTTTCATAAATGGAAGCGTGTGTTTAGAGGAAGTGACCATGTGTTTGCGCGTCTAAATCATAGAAGAAAAAAAAATCTGTCGTATGATGAAAGTGTACATTTTGGCAGAGCGTGCATTTAAGCAGAGACTTCTGTACCTGTATTACTTTTCTGTAAAGGGTGACGTCCAAGACATATTACTTCTGTTACTGTTATTTTTTGTGTGTGGTTTCAGGCTATAATAGTAGGTCCTACCCAACTTGGATATTTCTCCTTGTGGGGGTCCGTCCTACTAGTGAAAAAGAGGACTCTGAAACCCCCACAGTATGCAACCCACCAACGGGTTGATTGATTTGGTCCTGTACCTATCAAGAATTAAATTTTTAATAATGTTTTTAAAATTCAGCTATCAGATTAGTGTGATTTCGCTCGTGGTGAAAATTTAAGTTGTTTTACATCTATCCACTGTTAGTATTGATTTGTCAACACAAATCAGTCTACATTCCATACTTTAGTCATTTCAAGATTTTTAAAAAGAAATTTTAAAGACATGCTCACAAAATCTGGACCTGATCAAAATTGTTTTATGCTGTAGTACATTTCAACTGCATTTTCATAGCACGGAAACAGTTTAAATCTATAACAAACATGAAGAAAAAACAAAAACTATGATTACAGCAATGACACTTTTTATTTGAACGCTAAACTCCAGTGAAAAAATACATAATTATTATTTGTTAAATTTACATTTTTGAAAATGGTTCAAAGTATAGTCTGTAACAGAGTTGTGACTATTATGGCTTTGTTGTTTATTGACAATAATAACATATACTGTATATATGCTCTGCGAGGATACTTATATTATCAAATTCACCAGTTACCTTGTAAAAATGTACAATGAAAAGAGCAGCTCATGGCATGACAAGGAAGGAGTTATGCAGGTGTGCTGCAGAGCCCCTACAGTATAAGGTAAAGATGCGCAGCCTCAAAAATTGTAACAATTTCAAACTTAACGACATAATTATGACTAATTAGAAGTCTTTAAAGGTGTGCTGGAATAATCTTTGGCAGGATGCCTACGAATTTTTTTCAAATGCAAAAAATTCATTTGTGTACTCTAGTCTCATTTTTTTCTCCCTTTTTGGTCCTACACCCTCAATAAATCAAGGCCAGCAAGATCCAATGGACTTTCTCAGAAATCTTCACACTTTGGTCATTTGTCAAAGATGATAAATAGCCACTCACTGATTCTTAAGAACTATAAATCACAAGTACAGTCAAACCTCGCTATACCACCTACCTTGGAATGAGCATAAAGTTGGCAATTTAGTGGCGCTGGCGATAGAACGGAATAGCACCAGTTGCCATCTTGGCTGGTGATAGACTGGTATTTATAGAGACTAGAGGCAAGCTGTAGCCAGTCTTGGCTCATCTAGATCTCTCTTGCCTGATTGCCATGCGCAGGGGAAAACGAGTAGCAACCAATTACATGTACAGCTTCAGATGATCTTAACTACGTAAATTCAAACTAAAAATCCCCGCCAGATGAGAAGCTAGGCTATTACTATTAGTATTTCATATATATATATGTGTTTCAAGGACCCTGTAGATGTACAGATCTTCTTTACCCGACACTCATCAGTCCTTAGACTTGAGCGCGAGTCCTCACAATACAAAAGCTTCATGGGCAACTGCCAGCCTCTTGATCATCTGGCTTGATATCTGGCACCACCAGATATTTTAGTTTTAGTGGCAGGCTGAGGTAATGCAGTTCCGTTGAAGTTTCACCGAGCGATTTTACAATTTTATTCCAACTTTTGTTTAATTATCGACCATACACTGGAAATGGGCCAAACTGGCAGAGAGAAGTATGTGGGGAAAAATTATCCACCAGCTAGCTACTGATTGGGTGACAAGCGCAGTTTATAGACATTGATTTGCTGGCAGTATAGGAGCGGGGGACAAATTTACAATAGTTGAATGACTGTACAACTCCGGTAGTTGATGACAGGGATGAAGACTGATCAGTCCAAAATTTACTTAACTTTTCGCGGGCTATAAGCCTACAGATTTGGAAAAATACACTTATTCAATTGTAGACTAGTGCATATAGAATAACTCACCATTGAAAGTAGATAGACAAGCATCAGGCAGAGAAAGGATGATGTGTTTGATTCCCACTTACGGAAAATGACGGCGCAAATCAAAATCACGGATTTCCGATTTCCATCCCGATGATAAATAGTGGTGTAAATTCGCAAATACGATCCAGGCATTCCTTTTCATGCACTGGCAAAACCTGGTGGTAAGCCAGGCTGGTGGTATAACGAGGTTTGACTGTACATTATTTGGCTCATGAATAAACAGTACACATCAGTCAAGGCACTGTACTGTAAATGCAGCCTGAGAAAATAAAAATACCTGTATATAATATATAAATATAAAATATCTTTGGTTTGCAAGTGTTTACATTGCTTGCTATTCCTGACTTCTCACAGGAAAGATTGTGCAAGGCATACCGATTCTGAAGAACAAACAACATATGAAGTGGAACTCGGATTCAACGAAGTCATCGGGCCTGACCTTCAATTTCGTTGAATCCCAGTGTTTGTTACAATAGCAAACATGGGGTTTTTGTGCAGATTATTACAAGATCGAGCAAGTAAGTAATGTATAAAGGGAAGTAACAAGTGATAGGCTACCCTTAAACTTAAATGCCTGCTTTTTTGCCCTTTTTCGACTGCCTGAACCAAAAGTAGGCTGCATGTAGTTTGGTTGCAAATGAAAGGCATTTTCATTTTTTTTATGCCATACTTTAAAAATGCAGGAAAATTACTGGAAAATACGCTGAACACCTGTGTCACTATGACGTATTGTTTGCCAAACAAGCTGTGTTGCTGTGCAGCGCCTAGCATACAGCAATGTGTGATTCCACAGATCAGCGTGCAATTCTTTCCGTAGATATGTGTTAAAACTACGGTAGCTTATCTTTGTAATATAACATTGATCAGTAGGCATTGGAAAAATGACTGACGCTTTTGTATCTCAATCGGCGTTCCACACTCCGACCAAACAATGGGCTAAGCGAATGATGGTTCATGATGCAGTTGCCATAGATGGTTTCCAGGAATAGATAAGGTTCGTTACATGAGGAAAATGAGCAAATCCTCATCAGTGAGGAGTTTGATTGGCTGCTCAAATTGTACCCGCATAATAAGATGAATATTTGGATAGATTTGCTTTTGATCAGAACACAACATTTTATGTTACTGTTGTATTGTATTGTAAGGCACTCAGAGCCTGTGCACTTTAATCGGGGTAGAGTGCTATATTATAAATGTCGTTTATTATTATTATTATTACCCACAGAACACTGATCATATACTGAATTGCACAAGATTTGTGATAGCCACCAACATGTATTTAACACAGGTATCAATTTCAACCGCTCAGGGGGGCCAAAATCAAGTAATACTTAAGGTTGTGGCTGAACTGGATTAACCATTCTTCAATGACGAATGGAAAACTAATCCTTTTTTAAACAATGATTTCTATTAAAATAAACAAAAATTGATATAAAAATCAAGGCATGCCAATATTTCAGAGCTGGATGTTTAGCACCTTTTCTTGGCAACAAGTTTGTTTATTTTTGTTGTAAGGTTCTCTGTTAATAAGATTCTCAAAATGGACCACCTAAAATTCTCACACTCGTGTGCCAGATATAATTGGGCTGTATACCACCCACAGGCCTCACGTTTGACACTACTTGCAAGTGTTAGTCTTAGCCGATATAAAGGTCAACATTTTTTTAATTTGATCAGATTACAAATGAAAAAGTTGGTTCTTGGCCAAGTTTAGTCCACTCAAAAAAAACAACTTTCAACGCTAATTCTCCTTCAGCTTCAAAACTTATTCTGAATAGAAGCAATATGGTTTCAAAACACAGGGACCAGTTGGGCACTGGAATGCCAGTGCCTGACAGAATGTAAAAAGTAGACCACAGAATTATCAAAACTGTAACAGCTTTTCAAAAAGTAAATTCAAACCGTGAAGAGTATCACAGAAATATGTATACAAGAAAAGAAAATACTTTTAAACACGAGAAATATACTTATAAAATAATTCACATCAGTCTTTTTCAACATACATAATAATAATATTCATGCAATATGGTTAGTCTTATAGTAACCAAACATACACCTCCAGTGGCAAAATAGATTGGGAATATCGAAAGCTCTGTTTATCAGCATTATAAGGTGTGGAACATTAACACTTTAATTTTTTAAAGTTTAAAATTAAAAATTATCTTTGGTTTACAATCCAACATTAAAGAATTTCTTGAATAATGGAATTTACATGACTTAGGCATCACTTGCTTTTAAAAAATTATGCATTTTCTCATAAACACAAACAAGTTAAGAGAAGATATGCTCGCTGCACAGTGTTCCTGCCACTATTTTACCAGCCTTTAACTGGTGTCCAAGTTGTCTGGACTTCTGTCCCAGAATGAACATAAAATGTAGGATGAAGAGCAGCAGTAGCACAACCCTGGAAAAAAAATATTACACGCAATAATTAGTCACAAGTAAAAGAAATTTAACCACAGAAAAAGAAATGTACATTATAATGATATTTATGTACTGTAAATACTGAAATGTAAGAAAAGATCAGGAAAATATATGAAGTTAAACTAACCTCAACCAACAAAAACTCCTGTCTTCAAAAAGTGCAAAATTATACTACACATTTATGTTTAATGCCCCTTGCAACACAGTAAAGTTATATAAGAGGCGGGACCTCCAAATTTAACGTACTTCTTGGATAGGACAGAGGCAAATGAAAATAATTTGTAAAAAGCACCCTTCTCAAGGACATTACGTCCGACTAAGCGGAGCCTCAAATCCCCAAACCTACATCTCATGATTATGGGTCCAGTGGACTATACACTAAGCTACCGATGCCACTATTACTGCCTTCTTCCAATATGAAACTGATTTTTAGTTACAGTCCGTGCCGGTTTTAAGCACGTCGACCTTAAGCACGTTTTGGACTCAAGCACGCTAAACGACTCTTACCGAATTTTTGCGATATAAATTACATGCCTTTAAGCACGGTAACTTCGGCTTCGAGCACGCTTCATTTACAAGACAATCAATACTTTCATGATGACCCATCGAAGTTCGAACACAGTCTACACAGCAGCAGTGAGTGGGTTAAGTGAAACACAAAAAACGGAAGTGATGGAGACACACACGGGCGGAGAGGAAGGCAGAGAGATGCACAAAGCCGCACGCGTGGACATAGGATCTAGCCTAGGGCAAAGCTACTCAAAGACAACAAAAAATGCAAAGACAGTCGGAGGGACGAGGAAGGCTGCGATTTCACCTTATTGCCCTCGCCCATCTGATAATCCTGATTTGGTATCACGCGCGAGCTGGGATCGAAGACCATGGGGGGGGGAGGGGGTGAAGGCGGAGGCATGAATGTGGCACAGCGGGCAGTGGCACGCACAGGCAGTGTGTAGGCCTCGTGTGCTGTATCATGACTGGCCGTCTAAATAAAGTTTTCAGTTCCCATTCGACCACAAAACAAAATAAACAAATAAACAAATGAAAACTACCAATCACTGCGGGTGAAAATAACAGTCCACACTTAGGCCTATACTTACAAAGGGAGATAGCACAGGAAATGTTCTACATTAAAATCTCTGGATTATATCATTCAACTTCGGACTCAAGCACGCTTCGGCATTAAGCACGCTTAAGCTTTCTCCCAATGACCGTGCTTAACTCATTTGCTACGCCGAGCCATGGGGGGCGGCGCGGGTAAAGTGCCGTCAGTACGCTAAGCCGCCCCCGGCGGCTCGAGAACCGTTCTTCAATTTTAGCTTAGATTCTATTCCAATCCACATATCCATGTTAAAATAAAGTTCATAATATAATGTTGACTTTCGGGTCAAGCATTTCCACTGAAAATCGGAAATTTAGAATCAGTTTTGAAACGTGAATTTGTAGTTTATTCGACCTTGTTTTATCGCGATGCCAAAATTATAGCTCGGACACCAGTCTTAGTAATTTTACACAAAAAAATCTATCATTATTTTGCCCACTAAAGAAATGTAGGTCTCTTTTTTATAATATTGATACGATTGGACTCATATTGCCAATGCATTGTTATTGAGAAATCAATATCTTTGAGTGCTAGATCTAGGTCTAGATCTAAATTGTCAAAAAATGTTTTTTCTCCCTAAAATCACTACTTTTGAAGAAATTACACAAAAGTACCTCTCAAGACATGTATAGGTTTATTCCAAATGCAATTCTGAATAATTCCATATAAAATACGAGTGGGTTTTTTCTGTTTGTGATCGTTTTTCAAGATTATAAAAATTTGGGGTTTTTTCAATATCGGATGTTATGTTCAAAATGTACAAATATTATCGAATGTAGGTAAATAACTGCAAACTTTTCAATATTTTCCAGTTCTATATTCATTTTTGGTTATTTTGATGCATCATTTGACAAGGTACAAATATATTATATTTTTTGAGTTTCAGCAAAGATTATGAATTTTTTATTTTCAAATTTTATCCGCATCCAATCAAAATTGTGTTGCATAATCGTCTCTTACAGGAACCAAAGTTGAAAAATACATAAATAAACATTACAGATGTATTCTACAAACCATACTGAAAATATTGGTATATAATACATTGATATATATATTTGAATTTGTGGCCACAAAGACCCTTTAACTGCCCACTATAATAGTCATCATCTCATTCGCCCTCCCGAAAAAAAATTTGTCCACAAGCCGAAAATAATATGTAGCGAATGAGTTAAAGCCGGCATGGACTGTACCTGGTATAGAACAAATTTTGTATTTGTCTGCACTGCACTGTGTGTTATTTCATCTGGCATTTACCTTAACCCTATCCGTACATTGTGTTTACTATCGTATCCATACGACGTGGGGAACTCTATTATGCCACCACTTTCCAAAGAGGAAATTTACTTGTTAATCCGATCCGTACCGTTTGCATATATCAGTCTGTCAAAATGATTTTTTGAGAAATACTGAAAGTTTCAAGGAGATTTTCGCACTAGAAGTATTCTAAAATGACCCCCAGGCGTACAGAGAGGGTTAATAAACTATTGCAACAGAATTTTCCCTGGTCAGTCTCCACAAAACACATTATACACCAATTAAAGGTCCTGACAGCCCATGATAAAAATCTTATTAATTAACTAAATTGTCGTGACCCTTTTCAGTGCACATCATATCTTTACAGCGACATGTCGGCTTGTTTTGAGTAGTTTTGCTGCTGGCAACGCATTTCCTATATGCATGTTAAGCCAAGAATGCAACCTATCACATTCACACCTATGAAACATGCTAGCAATAGAAATTATAAATGGGGCCTGCAGTTGTGCCTTTCACCAGAAAGTATCGGGAACCAACAGCACCATGTATTAAAGCATAAACAGTAAGGCCGGATGACTTACATGAAATGGGATTATGAACAGAATCGTTCCAATTGGGTAGTTTCGACAATCAAGTTCACCTTCCTTTGCAGCAATCTTTCCAATTTCTTGACTCATGCCAACAAGCCTGCGTCAGGAAAATAAATTGCCAATTTAGTTTCACAAGGATCAGATCATCAACCAGCAAAAAACAAACAAGATAGATCTGCCAAATCATTACATGGCCTCAAAATTCCAAGTTTAAATGCAGCTGGCAAAAGACAAATTCATTGAGGCAGAAATATCATAGATTAAAAACGCACAATCTCCCCTTATAAATCAGAGTCAAAGGTACTGTTTTCCATACCTTTTTTTTTTTTCGCAGTGGAAAACATACTGTAGCAAATCAACTTGAACAAATACAAAAAGTTAATAGCATTACCAACTTACCAACCATTGTTTGAATGAAAAGGAGCAAACCACAACAGAAAATGTACCCTGAACTACTCCTTGTTTCTATCACTGTCTATTTTTTTTTCTCAACAAGAAGATTAAAGGATATATACTTTGAAAATAACATTTAATAATTTTATACCCATTAATAATACTAAGATGGGAAAGTCAACCTCTTAATGAGTAAATGTCAACTCAGTCTGAAGTAACATTCATAAAAATCTTAGACAGAGCAAAGGGTCAAGCTAAAAGAAAGAAACTGGAACAACTCAAAATGTTCTTATTGTCAACATTCACACTCGCACCATCTTTATTTTAAAAAAGGTTTGAAATGAAAACAGAAAAAAATCAAAAGTAACACGTATCTTCACACAGTCATAGATCTCTGTGTGTGGAGTGAGGAAGCATGAAAATAATAGTGTCTTCAGCTTCTTCTTACCGCAAGTTGCTGTCACCTTCAATCAGACAAAAGTCTTCTGGCCTCTGTCTCATTCCATCATGGCTGAGGGCTGTGAAGCCACAGTCCACTAAGATCATGTTTAGGTCTGGCTTGTGATCAATCACACGCGTCATCACACGGCATGCAATGCTGCTTTGCTTACAAGAACCAAGCAGGTACTGCTCATAATCTGAAATGAAAGAATTTGTTTCACATTTTGTTTTGTAAGTTCCAATCAAAATTGTTTTCATGCATGGGATAGGCACACTTTTTCTTCTGTTCAGCTGATCATGCATAGTATGATAATCTACAAACAGACAGTGCGAACAATACCAGTGTCAATAATAAATCTCAAAATATAGAAAGGCCCCCTACTTGTCACTTGTCATTTAACTTGAGTAGCAATGAAAGGCCAAAGATGCAGTGGTTAATTCAAAATACAAAATATGAATTCACAAGCATTTTTACTGTAAAACTTTATACCACCTCTATTATTATTTAATTATAAGACAGGTCATTTTCTAGTGTTGCAAGAAGACCTACCATAAAATATGTAGTTCCCAGGATGGAATTCAGCAAAGAAAGCATTTTCAGCCAAAGGTAAACTGCATGTTGGTGTAGAGCCTGTGCCCACTTGACATTCTATGTTCAGAGCTTTCAGCCTGTCAAGTCAATAAAAAGGGCAAATTAGATGTCCAAGAGAAAGAACAACTTTTCTAGTGCATAAATTTTGAAATAGTGAAACAGATCTTCAAAAGAAAAAAGTAAAGGCATAATGCTATTTTAAAACATGCTGATAGAATAATAATAATATAGAATATATAATTTCAACAAAGATATTTCAACATTTTGAGCAATTAAAATCAGAACATGAAACAGCATTTATAACCGAATTACAACTTGAGTAGAGAGCCAGAATGTACCCATGTCAAACACTGATCATTAGAGCCATGTCTGATTCACAACAAATCACCTATCACTGTCACAGTTCTCCATTTCTTTTTCAAGTTTACTTATCATCAACAAAAGGTTCGGATGTTCTAAACTCAGAAAGCAAAATTTTCCAGGAGAAAGAAAAATGTGTTTCATTCATCATGTATCTTTTCATTTTCTTGCTTTTTTTCCAACAGTTAGAATTCAAATTTCATCAAAATATTCCCCAATTAGATGTACATTCAACCGATACCATAAATTTAAAAACTGCAAAAAATTTGTTTTTCAAAATGTTGGCTCCGTACATCAGAACAGGTGGCCAATGATATACTCTTAAATATGATGATATATACAATTAATCACTATCATTATCTATTCTTTCAAAACATAAAGAGGTGAAACTTCTGCTGATTTACACTCTGTCAATTTATCATTCCCAGTCCAAAAGAGATACTACATTGTATAAATTTGGGGGGATAGAAAGACAGTAGAAATGCCTGTGCAGAGGAAAAGAAATAAAACCTCCCTAACCATCCTCTATTAAAAACAATGAAGGTGTTGCTGCTGGTACTGCTACTGCTGCTTGGCACAGACATGAGTAATCAGTGCCAAAAAAAGGTAGGGCTGAACAATCAGTATGAACACTATGACAGAAACAATATAATCATAAGAGAAAGCCCATTAATACCTGCTCTGAGCACTGCGAGATCTTGATATAACATCTTTTTGGGCTGCATGTTTCTCGGAGTTATTGAAGATGCTATACGAGTTCCCACAATGAATGTATAAAGACTCTAGATGCATTTTCTCAGACTTCTTAATTCTTACAGCAGCATCTTCAATTTCTTTGGAATCCCAGTTGAAGCCCGCTGAAATAAAGATTTTAAAAATGAGATATTATAAATCATATAGCATGCACAAAAACAAATATATGATCATGTACAACCATTAAGCTGTTCATAAGTAGATCTATTTGTTTCCTTTAATTTCAAATCAATGAAAGCATGTAAATGTTGACACTGCCTTACTGTATGTTTTGGTTTCCCCTTGTCCCTTACCACCCCCATCCCATACATCTCTCTCCTGAATTCCTCCACTCCTCCCCATGTTAATTTGACCTTAAACCGAATGAAAAATTCCGTTAACTACATAACTTCAGCCTCCAGTGAACGAAGCAGTTCAACACAAGTTTGATTGACAAACAAAATCTCATTGTTTGATTCCAAATGAGATCCAGTAGACTAAAGCAACACCTGGACATGGATGGCTTGTGCCACTATAAATAAATCTTTGATGGTCATGAGATCCAGTTTAACATTATTGGAAACCTTTACCTCAGTGCACCTAAGCCTAGCAGAGTGTTAAGAATCAGTAGAGATAACAAACATGCAAACTACTTACTTCTGCCATAACCTGCGTCAATTTCCAGCATTATCGACCATTTCTTGCCAGACGGCAACCTCATTACTTCTTTCTCCAGTGTGTCCAAGCCAGCATTATTGCTGACCATAACATGAAAAAGTTGTAACTTTTCCATTAAAGCCAAGCATCTGAAAGATAAATTGAAACCATTATTCTTACAAATCGGCGTGACTCATGTGAACAGAAGATTAGATTAAGATTAACCTGAATAATGCACACAAAGTTTTAGAATAAGAAGTGAAATGTCAGTAACAGAATCTAAATGTATTGTAAGAAAAACAAACACTTGGGAGTTTAAATCTACAATTAAACTCCACTTTTTTTAAAAGGCAAACCAACTACATAGTATTGCCTTCTGTATGAACAACATTTTTGCAAATGACCATTCCCATACATATGTGCAGTCACACACTCATGATGCTTATTTGAGTACAAAATGTATCAATACCCAGTCTTCTAAAGTAGCCTGCTGATATATGGCAGTGTAATAATAATAATAATAATGCAGATCATTTCTATAGCGCCCACTCCCGTGTAAACACAGCTCTAGGCGCTTTACTCATAAATGCATGTAAGAACAATATTCATGCACACACACACACACACACACACACACACACACACACACACACACACACATACACACACACACACACAAATCCACACACTCATATACACACAAACACACACATATACACATACACACACACAAACACACACATACACACTCATGAACACATAACACGCACATATGTGCACAAACATGTATGCCAAACACACACACACACGTACACACACACACACACACACATCTACTTACTTTTCACATGCACACGATTACACATCGTCACGAAATGAGCATAAAATAATATATACACTGCAATTCACAAAATACATAAATGGATACATAGACATTTACATAACATTGTACTGAACATGAATCTACTGACTTAAAAAGGATGTCATTAAATGTGTCTTTAAAGATTTTTTAAATTTAGACTCAGATGTTGTATGTCTCAAGGGTTGGGGAAGAGAGTTCCAAACTGACGGAGCAAGAAACACAATATATGAGATGAATAAATAACCATGGGTTCTACATAGACCTATTTTGTCTTCCCTCTAAAAGGTGTGAGAATATGTCTTTACATCAAGAGTTACTGTTGCAGTACATAGCAAAACACACACACATAGCAAACAAATGTTCAGGTCCCGAATGTCATTGATAAAGACCTTTTAATTTTATTCTCTGTGATAGGGTAAGCCAGCAGAATGTCATCAAAACCATTGTCAGCAAAATATTCCGCCTCTGCCAAAGTAGACACTGCAATGCACCTTTTTGAGCCATTAGTTTGTATCTCAGCAACCTCCCTGTGAATAATAAGTAAAGCACATGTATACATGTATTGTAAATGAAATAACGAGAGCTGAATATTGATTTATCTCACATAAATAAAGGACATAATATATACGTATCTCTGATAGTATGACGAATATCTACTTACATTCAAATAGGAGGAAAAAAAACATTGAAGACATTGAAGAGTATTATGCTACTCATATCCTGACAATGTCTGTGTGTACCTTTCATAATTATACCTTTGTTAAATTATGTTTTTATATTATATAAATTTTGCATCACATTATTCATTATCACTGAGTACTGTTAACTTAAAACTAGTGAAGTGCGTTACAAAAATTGAAGTGATACGAGTTTTTCAATTCACTATCCAAGCCTACAGACCTACTCATTGTGTTTATATATAAACAAATGCCATTATTCAGACTCCATTTTACAATTTTTAAATCCAGCGTCTGTTGAGTAATGAGGTTACAATCTTCGCTGTCGAATTCAGAAGACATGATTCATTTTCCAAGAGAAATTTTTTTATTTTATTACACTTTTCCTTAGAACTGCCCTTGGATGCTGTGGCCTTATACCACTCAGCCAAGGTTGGCAGTGACCAGAAAAGTCAGCTTGTCAGCCTGCCTTCTAGATCAAAGATGATCTAATTACATTGATGGGGGCATTAAACAATAGATATCTATTTTCACAATCGTCATAGACACAACATATCCTTCTGAACAGAGTTGTCATTTCGAAAGAAAAAATCATGCAGGCTATTTTTGGCCGTTGTGGTCGAAAGACCAATTTAAAAGAAAGGAGAACTCTGTAAACAATATTTGGAGAAATTACATGTTACCTCTCTACTTGAAAAGATGCATTGTGTGAAAAAGAAACTTCATTGGCGGAGGATGCGAAGGAGTGTGGTTAGCTGACCCCCTAGCCCACTGAAGGAGCCACATATAATTATAATTTAAATCTCTAGAAACATTAGGTCCTGCATGCATATGAACTCCTTATTCAGAATCTCCTTTTTATGAGCCAATTATAATGGAGAAAGAAAGAAAGGTATAAAAGACAATTAAAGGACCATCGCAAAGTGAAAAAGCTTGGTAAAAATATGTAGATTCTATAGGCCAACACTTTTATTTAAATTTGTTGGCATTTTATTTTAGCCAGATAATCCCTTAACAGAAATATAATTTCATCCATTCTTTCCTTACCATATATTTCTTTTTTTAACCATCCCTTCCCATTGCTATAATTTAAAAGGCCCGATATATTTACTACTCTAGTACAATACTAGTATGTGCAATCAACCATGATTGGCATGTCAACAAACCCACGTGCGCCTGGTCTAAAAATAATCAAAAAAGCTGTGAATAAATCTAGATCTAAAGGCAATTTGAAGAAAGTTTTAAAAATTTAAGTCAAGATCTAGATTCTATAAATTATTTAGGCCACGTACGTCAATGTTAAGTCTTGGTTTCATTCATGATATATCAAGCTTAAAGTCTAAATCTGCATGGCAACATGAAAATGAAAAAATTAATGTGACACGGGGGCGGGGTCAAGATCGGATTAGTCGAGAAAACATTCAATCAAAACATCCAGCGAGGTTAATCAAGAGCAGCTGAGATGCAAATCCAAATATAAAAAGCTAAAGCAAAGATACAGACCACGGCACGTTCGTAGCCTAGATAGATGGAACTTACAGTGTTTTGTGAGTCTTCGTGTGAGGTCTGAGCTGGAGATTTAAGCTCTTACAAGTTTCTCGCATACGACTGGCATTTTCTACAACCTTTTTCAAATCCACGACAAAACACGGTGTTTCCAGACTGCTGAGGGCAGATGCCATGTCAAATGCAGAAAATATTCCAAGTCTGCTGTTAAAGTAGATCCAGATATCTAGATCTAATCTATATCTCAACTTTTAGAGTAGTTATCTGAATTATTTTACAGCAACACGACACACTGGTCTGACACGCCGAACACAACTGATGACAGGCCAAATTCTTCCCAACCAACCAAGGTTGTGATCTCGGAATCTCGGCACTCGACTCGGCACCAGTCATTGGCATATAGGCCAATTGGATCACACTCGTTACATCACCTCCTGACCCGATTTTCCGGGCTGGGTGGCCTTCAAAATGCAAATTTAGGAAAGACCCATGATAAGAAAAGTCTGTTGAATTAGGCCTAGCCAGGGGCGTAGCACGGAGTAGCCCAAGAGGTAACAAGCTACCTCCTTAATAATATGACTGATTCATGCGCCTAGCGAGAGTGGTCGTTAGGCCTACTACGAGTTATTAAGTTACGTCACTTTGACTTTGACCCAACGTTTAGGCCTACACGTGTTACATTGTCTACTGTTGATAGGAATCAATCATTAAAGCACTGGTATGCTGTTTGCAGGCAGCTTTTGAAGATTGATCCATGGAAAAGAATAAAATATAGAATATGGTGTCATGTAATTATTCTCAAGAGAAAGAGAGATAAGGGGGGGGGGGGGGGTGAACAAAATGGGGATTTGGTTTACCTACTTTTTCTTTCACTGCAAGTTTTTGCTCGTTGGAGAAGGTTGCTTGCCTTGCGAAAAATGTTCATCCAACTCCTTATTTTAAAAATTAATAATAAACTGAAAAGCATTACATTGAATAACCGGAACCAACATTTAACAATGTTCACTAAACAACTAGGCCTACCTAGACCACTAAAACAAGGTCAAGACGACATAGATAATATACCAGAAAAACGTGGTTTAACCAAGGAGGTTGTAACATAAAGGGTCAGGAAACTAACTATCGGGTGATGAAATCAACATGACCTGAACAGCATCCCCCTCCCCACTTCCCCCTCTTGCTTGATAAGGCCCGGCCCAGCCTTATCCACCTGTTGCACGCAAGAGCCGAGGTATGCAACGCGTGCTTTTTAATCTTACTTTACTTTACGTATTACTTCTTTTTTACTTTTAATCCGGCCTCTGGTATCTTTCAGCGTCGAGAGGAGAAACAATACCCAATTTTTGTTCGTTATATCGACTTCTGTTAATATACTTTTTGTCTAACGTTTCTCTGCTTGTCTCTGTACCCTCTACATGTATTAAAATTTAGATCTATAGGATATGTCTTCTCAGAGTCTAAGACAGCCCTAATTCTCAGTCCATCTTTCTCTGGGCCCGCCTCTTCCTCTCTATCCATGATCCATCTGATTACTGGCTGCAGGCTCACGCTGCTATAACTGTCTTTTGGAAGTCTTGACAGACCCAAACAATTATAAGTGTTGTTTGTCTGATGTTATGTACTAATAGGCCCTACATGTACTCGCAGGAAATCGAGCACACGTGGTCTCTCTAACCATCCCGTTTCACGCCCTCGTCTTTTTTTATGTTCAGAGTTTTTCATGGTCTTCTTATTTCATTGTTTATTGTCTGTGTTTGGGCTTGGTAGCACTGTGTTCGTATTACATAATATTGTTACTTGTAATTTTTGTAATGAGTTGACATTTGTTTCTATTGTGATGTGATGTTGGGATGTGAAAGTAATAGTGCCAGTTTGTAAGTCACAACTTTGGCTTTTTTATTCTGATTTGGTTGGAAGGCCTATTTTATGAGTTGTGAGAATCTAATATGAATTTGTGAGTGGGACGAGAGGCCGGAGTTACCAGACATTCTTGTGTACTGGCATAAAATGAACGGTTTTGTTATTATATTGTTAAATGTTAGGATGTTTTAAAACAATCTGACAATGACTGCTCCTGGATTACTTTTCCTAGAGCAGGGTGTGCTTTTTTAAAACTGGTTTCAATTATACCCCTTCGCTACGGTCCTGAGGTTGGCAAAGGACACACACTGTAGATTTAAACATCAAGTGTCTAAGTGTCTGCAGAAGGATTTAGTCTGGCTGGAGCCATCCTGTCTACCAGCTTCGACGTGGTTTCGAAGTTCACAAACAAAGGGGGTATAGAAGCACCTGTGTAGTTTACATTCACATTATATAT